TAATGCAGTGACAGCACCGAGGAGAGGATTGCAATGAGCGATTGGCGGGTGGCGTAAAGATTACTTGCGTTGCGTGACGCAATTGGGTTGTGGTCCCAACAAAGATGCCAATTCCTTCCATAACCTGTTAGATCCAAATACAATATTGAATATTAACTTAGCGTTTCCACCCAAAAAGAATTCTGGGACCAAAGGCATAGGAGGAGTCAGCTGCCTATCCAAATACAATCGCTCTCAAATCTTATTCCCTAGCCCGTGGCCACGACCAATCCAATAGAGTGATTCTGTTGTTAGTATATACTAATTAATATCGAAAATGTATAAACTAGTATCCAAATTTGTTTATTTTACTAAAGTATCTAGACAGCACAGACTAGTATTCAAAACATCACAAAACCAGTATTCAACTCACATAATTAGTATTCAGCCAATCAATTACCAACTAATATCCACAATCAAACCAACTGGTATTCAATATGGATGCTCCTATGTGTTATTGGATACTAATTATGAGTTATATGGATACTATTCTGGGTTGTGTAGATATTAGTTTGTGAATTTGGGATAATAGTTGATTCAAGGTGGATATAAGTTAGCAAACCTTGAATACTAGTCTGTGCTCTCTAAGTACTTTAGTACTTGGATACTAGTTCATGTATTTTGGATATCAGTTAGTATCTGCTAACGAATCTTCAAATTAGCAGATTAACTTTTTCGACAACCAATGGCCACTAGGGAGAAGATAGCTCATCTAGTATGCTTTAAACTTTAAAGCAATATTATCAGAACCGACCTCGAGTATGATCCGGTAACGTGAACGGCTCACAATTTAGTGATCTAATTTGTATTAGACCGTTAAAAAACCATTAGAGAACCGATACCTTATAAACAATATTATCACAAGTAGAAGATACTTAACGATTTAATGAATAAAATGAAATTTACTTTACATATACCACTTAATGATTTTATCATTTATATATATGTGGAGACGACTGGTATGCTCCAGGAGTATAGTATGCTCCATATGATCTTACCGTTAGATTTACATGGATTAGCTCCGACCAATCTCAACAGTCAACTGTTCTTTTCTCTTAAATTGAACTTTGGGTTTGGGATTAGAAAATCGGGGTCTGGTGTTTATCCATTTGAGGTTAGGATATAGTATCATATCCCAAACTCGGTTTAATTCATGCTAAATAATAAACCCTAGGGCCTAGTCCCACCTCACCATCAACAATGCCGCTCACCCCTCTCTCTATTCCAATTTCTTCCATCTCTCTCTCTCTCAATTCCCAAACTCAATATGGCTCTCTAACCCCTACAAGGATGACAACGAAGGGACGGGGTTGGAGGACAAAAACCGTTTGGAGGCGCCTCTTCTTTGCTTGAGAGGGAGCGCTAGATGGGAACCCAACAACAGCATCGCCGCCGTCGGGAGGGACTCCCACCGCCACGCTTTGATTGTCAGAGAGAATTTGGACTAGAGGAGCAGGATTCCAATGGCACCGGCGAAAGCCACAGGAGGCGACGGGTTCGCAAGCAGCGGGTGTTTGTGAACATAATGGTTTATCGAATATGAATAATGGGTTATCGAACATGAATGCTTGTGTTGATTGATTGAGATATTGGACTTGGGAGGCTGGAGCCTTGCCCACCGTCCAAATTTTTATTTGAGGGCTCCAAGCGTATTTGTGGTCTCCGGTTTCATGATCCTAGTGGGTATGTTCAAACATAAATTCTAAATTTTGTGAAGAATCGACATTTTAGTAGGGTTGTGTCATGTGCCATTTCGTATTTGATGGCAAAACTGTATGAGAATTTGTCTGGTCACGGTTGTCTAGGCATAGAGAAAGATAAATCAACATGAGAAACAAAGCATATAGGTAGCCATTTAGACTTGTGTCTATTCGTTTCTTTCTTGTTTGATTAGTTTTCTCTTTACCTGATAACTGGTTAAAACCTTGCATGAGGCCAGATCATGACACCACTAATTAGGAAGACACATGCATATGCTTCACCATGCTCATGTGCATCTCAAATATTAACGTTCACCATGATCTTCTCCATCATCGTGTCTTCCATTGTCATTGCTTCCCCTTTCTATTCCATGTGTGTTCCATTACTATAGTAAATTGCATAAAGATTATCGGTGCCTTGAGTCAACAATGGGCCGCATTTATGTGAGTCGTCATAGGGGTGAACAAACACACCCGTATTTATCGCTAAAATGAAGGTTTTGAGTTGGGTGATGGTTTTCTTTTGTACAACCCGCCTCTATGGGGTTGGGTTTGGATTTTGGATTACACAACCCGTAGAATCTAACCCAACCCATGTTCCAACTATTGGTAGGAGTTTGTATCCGAAAATATTTATGTCGTATATAGTCATACTTATGAGAAAATTAAGATATTTCGCCATATTTTTCTCTCATGGTCTCCCTAATCTAATGCATTCTTCGGCTTAAAGTTTAGACATAAATTTAATATAGCTATGATTCACGTAATCCTTTTTCCTATGTACAATTTTATTAGAATAACATATTATGGGTGCATTCGTTTATAACCTTTTAGCCTATTTCAACAAATATTGTGAAAAAACTAGACATATGTTGAAGTAAATCACATTTTATTAAAACTGAAACAACATTTATGAAATTTGATACCTTTCTTTCACCTCGGTTTATTCGTTTGAAATTTTAATTAGTTATAAAATATTTTTATGGTGTAGAATAATTACATATTTTGTGCTGGGTTGGGTTTTTACTTAAAAATATCGCCAACCCGACCCAACCCAATTAGAAACAAACAGTAGGGTTTGTTATTAAAATGGCTAAACCGTAGTGCATAGGTAGGGGTTGGGTTTAATATTACCCTAACCGTAGTGCATAGGTAGGGTGATTAAAAGGGCTAAACCTGAACCACCCGACCCATGTACATCCCCATTCCCCATCGAAAATCTCGTCTCCTCAATCCCTTCAATTGATTTCTCCCCAAATTCACTGACCTCCGATTTCTTAGCCGCTGCCAATTCGTCTCCCTGACTTTCTTCTCCGCTCACGACTTTTCCACCGTCACCACCATCTCCACTCATCGTCGTCGTCTTCTTCTCACCGGTCATATTAGAGTAGACGCGGGGCAGAGTTGGAAAGCGGTGAAGGGCAGAGGCGATAGGGAGAGAGAAGGTCAGAACTCTCTCAATGAGAACATGGTTGGTCTACTCCAACTCCGCCATCGACAACGTCGATCTACTCCTCGCGTTCGAAGTCTGATTCAACGATCGTGTCGCCTGGAAAGTCGATCTACTAGCACGGCTCCGGCACCGGGCAGGGGCTGTCGCTGGGAGTGGTGAATCTCTCGATCTGTCGACCGCAGATGGTGATTTCGCTCGGGAATGGTCTCACTATCGACAGGGAGGGAGGGTGACGAGAGAGGGGACGCCTGGGAGATGGAGTTGGGGACGAGAGAAGAGGATTTGGGTAGCAGATGGAGTTGAGGACAAGAAAAGAGGAAGAAGTCGGGAGCCTGAGAGGAGATTTGTTTTTTGTTTTAGTTTATTCATTTATGTGAAAAATAACTATAAATTGATATTATAAATTCCACGTCAGATGCCACATCAGCGCTGACTAGACTTTATGTTAAAAATTAACGGTCAACGTCGGTCAACTCTAACGGAAAAATAGTTTAGGACACAAATGTCATATTGGATAGTTTAGGACAAAAATAATACATTGTTAATAATTTGGGTTCCTAGTGCTATTTGTCTTTTTTTTTACCAAACTTCCTTTCCTTACGTAGATATGAAGTCTGGCCCATCATTAAATGTCATAGGCTCATCATTACCTATTTCATTACCATGCCCACCCACCATTCCCATTAATCCATCTCCATCTCCTACACCCACCTTGGGCCCAACTTAACACTACCCCTCCCCTCTCCTACCCGCCCCATTTCCGACAATCCATTCCGAGCCCAATCCTTCATCAAACCATCTCCCCAAATCCACCAGCCAACCAACAACCTACTCCTCCTCGGCCCTCTAGTCCACTATTAGGTTATCAACCGCGACAACCACAAACACAATCACCCTTTAAGAATTGGTATATATATATATATCCTGAATGGCTAAACGTCACCCTAACTTACTATTATCGTCCTAGTTTAAAATATATTATTACGGAATTACTCTTTATTAATCAATTCAAATTCAACTCCTTGTCGATTTACTCCCCGCACTCCTCCAAAGAAATTGAACAGGGCTCCTGCATCAACACCTGCGCCACCGACTGGACCCCTAACTGAATTGGTTTCTTCAGGGTGCTTCAAAATCCAGGACAAACTTCAACCATTCAAGTAAGCTAGGGTTGGGGAGGCATCTTGGAGGTGATTCGGAGATAGCCACGGCAAATAAAATACGCGATTCTCGCTGGTCTCTAGTTTATCCAACGAGGAAGGTGAAACGAGGCCTTGATGTGGAACTCGCCATCGTTCCCAGACGTGAATAGAGAGTGATGTTCAAGGCACACACATCCAATTGACAAACTCCATTCACCAAAACACCATAGAGAATCAAGAACCTCTCCTGTCGGCCTATTCTCCTTAATTCAATTGTCGTTTGAGCACTCTGTAATTCCCTGACAAAGTTGCTGAGTATGTGAGGGAGACAACAAGAGTTGCGGTGGGTGACTGGAGGCGACATAAACTATGATGACGGAGATGAGTTCGCGCGCACGGCAGTGGTTTGTTGAGGGAAAGAGACAAGAGTTGTGGGGACAAAGGATCCTTGTGGCCGCTTAGATTTTTAGGTCAATTTATTTAATTAGGTTTAATAGTAGGCGGATGTTATTTGTTTGTTAAAATATAATAAGTTTAATAAATAAAAAAGAAAAGGGCGTAAGGGTATTTGTAAGCGGTAAGTTAGGGCGATTATAGAAAATTTAGGACGACAATTAGCAACTCCCACATAATATAATCGTCAACCCAATTAGTAGATTTGTGATCGGTCGAACTTAAATCCGATAGTCGGAGTGCTAGAATTTAGCTCTTTCTGATTCGCATAACCTTAAACGATCTTTATTATATCTTAATTAATTCGATTCATCGTACTAAAACTTTGGTTTGATCTGGTCATTTGACTAAATTTGAATAGCATACCCACCCTCACCTCCATACCTCCTAATAATCCCACACAACGTGAGACACCCACTTTACCAGTAGACCGCCTGTTATTTGTTACAAGTTTCTATTACTGGACCAAAAAGATCAACCTCGTCGATAAAGTTTCAGAAGTATGTAAGAAAATTTCAAGCATATCAATTATTTTTGCTGGAATTAGGTCTGCGAAGAAACCCATAATAGTACCGTGACGCAGTCCTCGGGATAGTATATATCTTATCCAAAACTCATACTATCTTTGGCAAGTCAAATGCTTTTTAATTTGCTTTGAGAACATCGTAAAATGACGTTGGCTTCTTCAAGGAAGCCGCAGATAGTTCCTGCAGGCGCAGCCAAAAACACAAATTATCTAAAAATAGCAACATATTTTATTTTAGTATGATGAACCAACATCTTTTGCTGGCACTTTGAAACAAAACACATTTAAATCCTTCATTTCCTTTTTGGCCTTTTCATTCAATAGGAGGATATTAGTACCTCGATCGCAAAAGCTAGCCGGAGAATTGTGGCTTCTCCCCATGGGCGACCGATTAGCTGCAAGCCAATGGGAAGCCCTTGCTTGTCGTAACCAATCTGCAAACAAATTTATTAATAACGTAAATTCACTGTTACTCTCCATTTACCATTTTCGCTAACAAAAATGGAGGATTTGATGCTTTTTTTCCAGTGCTTCAGTTGCCACCCATGCTTACGTACAACTTTATCACCAATAATATACATTCATTTGAGAAGGGGGGAAAAAAAGTGTATAATCTAATGGTCCGTCCTATAGGCCATAGTAAACAAATTAGGTAACTTTTGGACAACCACACATTTTCTAGGCCTTGGCATTTGGAAGTGCTCTAGTGTGCATTTAACAGACCTTTTCAATCCCACCTAAATTTTCAACATAACTAGCAAAATTAGATTCATTTGTGCTATACAAGATGTCATCATTTGATACAACTCTTACCATAATCGATGTAATTATGTAGATAAATCATAATTAATTCAATTTTCATATGAATAATAAATGAGGGTATGTTTGATAACATTTCACTATTAGAAGAGCAAAATTGCCATGAAAATTTATAGGGGGACTTGTTTATGAACTTTGTCAAATCTACCTATGATCCAACTTTTGGCAATCAAATGTTTAAACCAATTATTCTAAGATAAACTTCATCAGGAAAAAAAAAAAAAAGAAGTTATTCAAGATAAAACTCATAAAGAGATCAACTCACAGGGACAGATATAGCCGGAAGACCAATGAGATTTGGTGCGATGATAAAGCGCATAAGAAAACCTGCCACAATGAGCAAGCAATGTAAACATCTAAGTACCACAAGTCTCAGCTAAACAATTTTCGGTACCAGACGCTCTCGTGATTGGATTCATTCATATGAGTAAATTTTATAAGAATGTTAGAATTTCTCCCAAAAAATGCTTTGAAGTTTTCAATTTTAATACAATCAAGTTGGTATCACTAGCCAACTTGGTCTACAAGAAACAAGTTCATTAAATATTTGAATTGGCAATTAGGTAAAATATTTGAGGATTTATTTGGAATAAAACATATCGCGGTCGACATCAACACCAAGACAAGCTCGAAAGCGTCTGAGTTGCAACAAACGATGAGATTAAACAACAAGGGAGCTTGATCCATACTCGTTACTTAGTCAACAAGAAGTTATTCTCAACGGTCATTGATGGTAAAAAAAAAAAAAGGACATTGATGGAGGAAGTTGTACGAACATGGTAAACTCAACTATAGAGATGCAGGAGGACATCAACAAATAGAAGGATGACTTGAAGGCGTCGTTCGAACAAGAGAAGCAGCAAAAAGAAGGAGACATTTAAGTAGGAAAAGGCTGACATGCAGACGTCATTTAACAAAGAGAAAGCCAACATTTGAAGGCGTCAGGATGAGAAAACAAAGAAATTTAGGAGCAACATTGCATTAAGGAGGAATGATGAGAACATCTACACCAAAGCTACTCAGCCAATTTCAACTCCAACAGTAGTGCGACACGAAGAGCTATATGCTTGGGTTCGAGCTCTAGAAACACGGTTAACCAAAAATACTTTCCCTATGTGATAGAAACTTATATTTTAGTACTTGATTAATTGTCGGTTTATTATTATTGGGATTATGAGGGCTAGTCGGGAATAATTGATAGATTGGGTAGTAGTAGGAAATTGGTCATTTTCTATATAAACTATTGTAAGTTAGAATTAGGGTTAAGAAAGGATTAATCAAAGAACCTAAACCTCTCTTTCTCACTTCCCTCTGCCGACCCCACCTCCTCCCTCTCTTCCCTCTGCTGCGAACAGCAGCCTTTCTCCTCACTGCTGCCCCATCCTTCCCTTCACTTTCTTTCTTCTCCCCCGACCCAACTTCCTCCCCTCTTTACTGCTGCTGACAGCAGCTTCTTTTCCCTCTTCCCTTCTATTTTCAATTCCCCTATCCCAACCCGTTTCTCCCAATCAACCCTAATCACCACCTTGGTGATTCGTTTATTTCCCAAATCCCTAAAACTCGATAGAACCTAATTACAGGTCTCTATCATTTGGTATCAGAGCCCCGTTCTTGGGTTCTGGAGCAAACGAATAACGACGAGCGCGATGGTGTCGACGAAATCAATGCAAGCAGCTGAGAAGGCCGCCAAGGCGGCGGCACAGGAAAAAGCCGCGATCGGGGCCACGTCGGGACTGCCGACGGCTGGTGAGGGCGGTAGTGAAGTCCCGGTTCTGCGGGATGGAGAGATGGTGGATGAGACGCTGGGAGAAGAGCTCCGTACTGAGATGACCAAAATGGCGGAGGCCATGGAGCAGGAGCGTCGATCCCGACTGAAGGGCGAACGGGCTCGGGAGGCAGAAGCGCGAGCCCGGGAGGCGGAGTCGCAGAGGATGTGGCTCGCCATTGGTGAGCTGAAGGCGATGGTGGCTGAGGCCTTGGGGCGAGGAGGAGGAGGCGGCGGCGGCAGCACCGGGGGCGCGGGCTCGCGGGCGGATCCGGCGGCGAGGGCTCGGCGGCGGAGGCCCCGGCAGGTGGAGGCGGCACGGCCGCCGAAGGAGGAGTGGCGGCGCCGGGGCTCGAGACGGCGGAGAAGGCGCCGGTCGGGCGGGCGACGACAGAGGGCGGGCCGGGGACCGGCGGAGGCGGAGCGGGGACAGGGCCAATGCAGGTAGGGCTAGGTGTGGGCCCGGGTCTGCTACCGACGCCTACGGCCCAAGAGATTGCGGCCCGGAAAGGAAAGGCCAAGATGGCCGGTTATGACATAGACGGGCCTCCTACGAACAGTGGGCCGGAGCTGATGGGCCAATACACGAAGATCCATAACGGATTGGGGTGGTTGGATCTAGAGGATGGGCCCGAGTATGACGAACTTAGCCTGACAGACCGACAGGCCAAGTGGGCCGAACCGGAGGTGGATCAGAGGGGGCCGAATGGGCCGAGGAGGCCCACAGAACCGGTTGGGCGACCAGGGGCGGCCCCCATGGGGCGGACCGAAGGGGGCCGGACCGAGTCCGGTCGAGCCGGGATCGGTCGGACCGACGCTGACCGAACCGAGGTGAGCCGAACCGGGCCGGGCCGGACCGGGATGGGTCGTCCAGAAGTGGGTCGAACCGGGCATCGCCCGAGTCCGACGGCCCAGCAGTACAGGAGGGTGGACTACCGGGAACCAGCCAGCTGGGAGATTCCGTACGGGGCGCCTCACGCGCCAGGAGGGTACCCAAACCTGCAGGGCAACTATCCGGGTGACTATGTCCATGAGAATCCGAACCGGATGCCGGGCTCTTCTTTTGGGCAGCCTTGGAGAACTCCAGGGAATGACAGGTATGGGTCCCACTACATGAATTATGAGGGAATGGATGGAGTGGTTTTTCGAGCTAAGCCTCCGACCATTGAGTTTCCCAAATTCAATGGGCAAGAGGATGCAGGTCTTTGGTTGTATGCAGTAGAGAGATGGTTTAGGAATCATCCGGTCCCGGAGGAGAGGAAGGCCTATCTGGCGTCGTTTTATCTGGAGGGAGATGCGCTCCAGTGGTGGGAGTGGATGGAACGGTCCTACGCCGCTGCGGCAGTCCGGGTGTTCGAGCCTGATTCCCTGAAGGCGGCTTTTCGTCTTGCAGGTCATAAGGAGGAAGAGCTCGCTAGTTGGAGGAGCGCCATTGGCCGTTTCCCGAAGTCAAGCGGAGGGGGAGGGAACAGCGGAAGTAGTGGAGTCGCGGGAGGAGCGCCAGGGGTAGGCTCGACCGGGGCTAACACTGGCAGTGGAGGCCCCGCACCGGTAGCCAGGATGGGGCCACGGGCCATACCTAAAGGCTTCGCGCGACTATCACCAGCCGAGATTGAGCAGAAGAGGCGGGAAGGGAAGTGCTTCAAGTGTGATGGCCGATTCACCATTGGGCATCAGTGCCCCAAGGAAGACTTGATGATGCTGGTGGGACGATGGGAGGACGACGCAGAGGACTATGCTGAGGATGCCGGAAATGATGAAGAGGAGACCTAGTGAGCTAGAGGATCAACCTTGGGGACAAGGTTGATTCTCGAAGGGAACGGGGATGATAGAAACTTATATTTTAGTACTTGATTAATTGTCGGTTTATTATTATTGGGATTATGAGGGCTAGTCGGGAATAATTGATAGATTGGGTAGTAGTAGGAAATTGGTCATTTTCTATACAAACTATTGTAAGTTAGAATTAGGGTTAAGAAAGGATTAATCAAAGAACCTAAACCTCTCTTTCTCACTTCCCTCTGCCGACCCCACCTCCTCCCTCTCTTCCCTCTGCTGCGAACAGCAGCCTTTCTCCTCACTGCTGCCCCATCCTTCCCTTCACTTTCTTTCTTCTCCCCCGACCCAACTTCCTCCCCTCTTTACTGCTGCTGACAGCAGCTTCTTTTCCCTCTTCCCTTCTATTTTCAATTCCCCTATCCCAACCCGTTTCTCCCAATCAACCCTAATCACCACCTTGGTGATTCGTTTATTTCCCAAATCCCTAAAACTCGATAGAACCTAATTACAGGTCTCTATCACTATGTGATTCTATACAAGCAAGGTAAGGAGAATGTGGTTGATGAAGCCATTTCTCGAATGTATGCTTTAATCTCATCTCTTGATGATAGAATCACTGGCTCGAACATATAAAAGAGTTATAAGTTGATGATTAACTATGGAAATATTTGTAGGGCTTGTGAGAAACATGGTGAAGGAAAATATTATCAAGCCGATGGATATTTGTTTCATGCTAACCAAATATATATGTATGTCCCATGCTTCTATTATAGAGTTATCGGTTAGAGAATGATGGAGGTCTTATGGCTCATTTCCGGGGATCCAAGACTTTGAATTGCCTATAGGCTACAAGCATATGCAAAGGCAAACAAGTGGTTTGGGCACTGTCACATGACATTGGTAAGTTTTGGTATAAAAAATACATCCCTATGTAGTTATGTATGCTTATGTAAGAGTTCGATTCACCACTTTGAGCTGGTATAAGAGTATTTTGTCACTAGACTAAAGTGTCTACTCGATTTATATTATATTACAAAATATTAAAAACTATACAATTTATATTTTGAAAAGATGATACACCTAGTTTCAAATGACTTCGCCATTGCGTAGAAGAACATTTTTATAGGCCCATATGAGAAGTGATGTGGAGTGAGTGTGTGCACAAAGTCTTAAATGCCGCCAAACCAAATCAAAAGTTCAACCAACCAGGTTATATACTCTTCTCTCTAGTCCTATTGACCCTTGGGTTATATATCTCTATGGATTTTGTACTTGGATTTCCTAGGAGTAAACAGGGAAGATATAATGTCTTTGTTGTGGTTGATCGTATTACGAAAATGGCACATTTTATTCCACGTTACAAAACTGATGATGCTTCCAGTGTAGCTTACTTATTCTTTACAGAAATAGTTAGGCAGCTTTGAAAGTCTGGTACTATTCTATCTAATCGTGATGCCAGGTTTTTTAGTTATTTATGAAAATTTTTGTGGAATAAGTTAGGAACTAAGTTGCTGTGTTCTATAACATGTCACCCTCAAACAGAAATAGTCAATACTTGCCTCAAACCCTTAGGGCTGCAATTCAAAGTAAAATCAGAACTTGGGAGGAAAGTTTGCCTCGTGTTGAATTCGTATATAAAAAGGTTATTCATCCTACTACTAAGTTTTCACCTTTTAAATATGTGTATGGTTTTAATGCATAAGGTTATTCATCCTACTACTAAGTTTTCACCTTATGCATTGTCGCCTGTGGATTTAACTCTATTACCTTCTGATTAGCATGTTAACTTGGTGCGAATAAAGAAGAATTTGTCAAGAATTTAAATGAGAATACAGAATTGAACAACGAGAGGCGCACTTGGCAGATTTTGGAAAATGTGAACAGACATAGGCGACCTCATAGATTTGAACCTGAGGTTCAGTTTGGGTACATATGAGGAAGGAACGTTTTCCGCTATAGAGATGTTCTAAGCTGCTGCTGCATGGTCCTAAGCTTATCCTAGATAGCTAAATTAAACATTCTACATTTTAAAAATTTAATTAGAAAAAGAAAACATGAAAATGAGAAATCAGATGAGGGACAAATAATAGACGAGAATTAAACCTGTAGTCTTCATGTCACTCTCTCCGCACTTGAGAGCACTGCGAGGAATCATAGGTGCTGTTGCTCTGTTTCACACAAAAGGAGGTCAGGTGAGAAGAAGAAGAAGAAGAAGAAGAAGAAGAAGAAGAAGAAGAAGAAGAAGAAGAAGAAGAAGATCAAGCCTGCCCTCAAACCAAGAGATGCTTGGAGATTATTCTATAATAAGTTAACAGGACAGGGATATAATCAAGGTAAGCAGAGGCTGGCGTGAGCAGTAATAGTCAAAATGTCGATAGCAAAGCAATCCATTGTTTCCTTCTCGTTAACAACTTACCCAGTTGTAGGAGTAACAATGACATCAACATTCTTGAAAATTTCCAAGTGATGGTACATTATTCTTCTCCTGCAAAAACAACAGCCACCCGCTTAAAATCACTTCATTTTCTCTTAGCACTTTTCCATTTACCACCATCATGTTAAGCTCCGCACCGGCAATGGTTTCTGAGTGAAACATCTCTTTAAGTTCAAAGTTTGAAGCACCAAAAACCTTATAGACTCACCTAATGCGTTGAGCACTAACATATTCAGATCCAGTGAATGATCGGAACAATGCATCACTAGTGCGACTCTCGCATGTCAACTTGGCACCTTTCCTGCATACAGGGTTGATTATACCATAGTAATAAAATAAATAAACAACCAAATTATTGAACGGTCAATAAATCAAGAAGCCTGAACGTTACCCATTACTGATGTGAGGACTTAATATCGAATGCATATCAGCTCCAATGGTAGCAAGGTGAGCAGTCCGCATTTCCAGCAGCTCTGGTATCAAAATCTCCACCATCTGCCAACACACCATAGTTGAAATAACTCAATCCTGTTAGTGCCCGTGTTAATGGGTAGCTTTAATTACATCGAAAGCACAGTACTTACTTCACAGCCATGGGTCTTACACAGAAGGGAAAGAGCATCCCTGCACTTGTCCAAGACCTCCGTTTGTTTAACATCATTAAACCACTGTTGTGGGGAATAGTCAACATTCACTCTTAGACGCGGAGATTACATATGAAGGAACCAAGAAGAAAAAACTATATGCCACTCAAATGTATTCATCTGTTTCATTTTTGCTAATAAAATTTATTATTGATGGGTCACTGACTTTACATTTACGTCTCACTATTAGTCACTCTCTATTTAATTCTGTCAAAATATTCTTCGTGTCAATCAACAATTCTACCTTCACCCTATGTGGCAATCCAAAATTTAAAATTCTATCATGGCCTCTTTCTCCAACCCCCTAGAGTCTCAACTTGCAGCAGCCATCCCGATTAGCCAGCATCAAGTTAGGAAGAAGAAGAAGAAGTGATAAAAGTAAAAATTGTGTTTTTCCCCCCTTAATTGACACCTTATTAGCCTAAGGGTCAAAATTAATTGCTGAAGCCATTTTTGAATGCTGACTAGTAAAGAGATGCAAATGTAAAGCCAGTAGCCATTAATGCAATAAAAAAGAAAAAATAGCGATATCATAGAATAGAAAAGAACCGTCTTTTCTCTATACTTTTCCCGGTTCCGTTCTTACCGCGTTAACGTGAAAGAAATTAATAAATTGCGGAAAGGAGGTAGATAAGTTTATTAGTTTGTTTCCGCTCACCGGTGTGTATCTTCCAAGCCGAACTGATCCGACCACATCCGTACTCTTCTTTGCTGATAACTTCGGGAAACAAGGTGGAGACTACAGAGAGGGGCATTGTTAAAAACATTGTGAGAATCCAAGAATCTTGTAATGCAAATGATAGTTGCAAATGCAGATTTAAAACATTACCGGGTGCAGGCCAAATCTATCCACCGGTGAAGAACCAAGAATTGCTGCATACCTAATAAGTTGGAAAAAATGGAAATTTTGTTTTGACCGTTATAGTCTAGTTTTATTAATCTGGGAAGAAAACTAACATCATAAGAAGTACTCACACGAGCATGAGATCCTCCAAGGAAGATGCAATTGGTCCAATGATCTCCACAGTACCAGCTTCACACAGAGAACTAGGCAAGCAGAAAAAATTACCAGCTTTATGAATGAAGAAAGTTAACACCTAATTATTAGCAAAATGAGACATTAACAGCTTCAAAATGCTCACCCCTTCATATCCGTGCGTCCGTAAGTTGTTTTCATGCCAACTACACCACAAAGGGAAGAAGGAATGCGGATTGAACCTGCCCTTTTCCAATGCCATTGAAGGAAAGGAACTATAAAGGTTAGCAAGTGTTCACAAGAAAACAAATCAGTAAGCTGAGCAGAACATGATTCAAACACAACCTCCACCATCAGTCCCCAAGGCAGCAGAGCACAGTCCGGAAGCTACAATTGCTGCTGGCCCTGACGACGATCCACCAGTGTATCTTTCTGGATCATGAGGGTTCCTTGTCGTTCTGCGTCCGACAATGAAAAGAGTTAAAAGGGGTTGTTTCCTTTCCTACATCACGATTTACATCCAAGTAATGAACTAACCCATAATTTGGATTGTTTCCTGTAGTTCCCATGCCCAGCTCATGCATATTTGCCTTCCCTAGAAATATAACACCGCAGCTGCGCAGCCTAGAAACTGAAACTGCATCACTTTTTACGGGGCGAACATCATGCATCCACGTTGTTGCACCTTCGTGTTGCAAAGGAAAAAAAAAATAATACCTTAGAATTTGTTAGCCAGGACAAAGACTAGTGAGCAGAAGGAACAAAAAGGCAAAATGGGGTACCCTTTGTTTGGTAAGGAAGGCAATCTATATCATCTTTGATTGCAATAAAAATTCCATCCAAGACCGATATTTCTTTTCCTGTAAAATCCCAACATTCCCAACACGAGTCAGATTATGATAACTGCAGCCAGAACCTGGAATCCAACAGTTCATTGGATCAATAGAGCAGTTTACCTTCACTGAATCTTTGAGTGGATGCTGCAGCTTGATTCCTTATATCATCAACATCAAAAGAAACCAACAGGGGACATGGTGGAGTCTTCCCCTCGAAATCCTTTAAAGCCAATACGATATTCTCTGCCACCTACAACAGGAGGATCTGATAGTGCCCATTTAATTGAATTATCAGCAAAGGACACTGTAGCAGTTATAATTTATTACCATTAAGGGTGTCACAAGCTTTGAACGATAAGCATGTGCATAGTCGCGAATCGTCCAGTATCTGAAACAGGTGCCTGGGTTCTCATCCAAGGAGTGAGCAGGATTGTAATCAGGAAGACACTTCAATGCTGATGCTACCCTTTCTTCTGGCGTTTCCAATTCATCCACTATGTATACACCACGTTCTGGTTCTGCATTGAATCTCATCCACGTTTCAGCCATAAGCTGCGGCTTTGTTTTCCTGTCTTCCTCTTGCTACTTGCAATTAAAAATAGTATGTAATGCACCCCGGAGGAACATACCTTGAAGAGGAAACTCCGGTTTAAACATGGGCAATTCAGGTATCTCAGTGTTCTGCAATAACTGAAGAATCAACCAGAAAACAATGCAAACCAGCTTAGTTCATCAATTATTTTCACAACCGCAAACCAGGAACGGATAAAAATAACAAAATTAACCGGCTGAATCCCGAAGGAGGGAAGGACAGACCTCAATCATCTTGTTCTGCTTCTTCACGTGAGAAACTATCAGAGAACCAAAGAATGGAGATTCAAGTATCCTTGTAAACAGCTTCAATCTTATCCCAGACAAACTTGGAGCTGCATTTCTCAAAGAAAAAAAGGGTGGACCAATGTGAGTTATCTCATGAATTCAATTTTCATTGAGTAAGAAGGACAAGGTACTGCAAACACTAACCTTGTACTACTTCTTGCTCGTACTTGACAGCAGACAAGTCAATTTCATCCACGGGGACCATCACACGGTGCTTGCCCATTTCTATCTACTTCCCAGTCAATCAAGCAGAACTCCAGAAAACAAAGACCTTGTAGAGAAAGAAGCCCGTTCGAGGAAATGCCTCACAGAAAACTACCCAAATTCAACGTTGAAAGTAAAACTGTGACGCTGTCAATTAATCACACCGTCTCCAACTATAAAGAAAAGCTCTTCTCGATGGGAACAAGAGGACTGGGCTTTGGACAGAGAAGGGAAAAAAGAATGACAGTCCCAAAGATGAAGATGGAAATGGCGGTGAGACTCTGGAGCTTAGAGAGACAAAGGAGACGGAGGAGGAAACAAGAGTATTAATCTCTTGACAGTGAAAGGATGGCAGAAGCAACCAAGCAGATCAGGAAATTCGTATGGATTTCCATCCAGGAAGTCGACATAAGGACTGCGACGGAAAGTGAGACACAAACAGAGACGTTGACAACAATGGAGCGCGAAGCAGTCAAGCAGAGGAACGGGGCCAACTCAAGGTGACAAAATCAGAAGACCCACTGGGAATAGGGAAAAGCAAAAATAACCAAATGATCCATCTTTTTGTCTTCTCCACTGAACTGCTCCAAACCCATCACCTGCAGTAATGGCGAGAAGCAGCTCCAAAAGCAGTACAGTTGGTTGATTAAATTCACTATTAGGGTGGACTTTGTTTTATTCCACTCGACTTCTTCGTCGTCCATGGCCTCTATGACGACTCAAACCCCCCGGTTTCATCCCGGCAACCTTACCAGGAAATTCATCCCGCCGTTGACTCGTCCTGGCAATCTTACCAGGAACTGGTCGACGTTTCCCACTGACATCTTCTCTTCTTGCAGCTTCTAGACCAGCTGGATTTCGGAGGGGGTGCATGAACAGTACACCACCACCAGGCAAGAGATAGAAACCCTAATTGATTTTCAATTCCTCCATATATGGCGTCGGATCGAACTGCGACTAACAACTAGAGAACAATTATCGTCACGCCGCTACCTTGTTCAGGATCCGAGCCTTGAACTCGACTGGGGCTTCTGTCGACAACGTTTTCGATTTACCAAAACTACGGTCATTGCGCCTCCTCCGGTCTCTTCCCTATTCCCTCATCTCCGCCTGATGATCTCCCTCCGTTTCCAGCAGGCGAGGCAGCAAAATCTGTCGTCGCCTGTTAAACCACTACGGTCATTGCGCCTCACTGATTATAGAATTCTGACGTCGCCATCCATCTCTGTGTTCCGAACCACCGCGATCAACGCCCGACTGAGAAGCTAGCTAAAGACGAAGAGAGAGGGACAGTTCAATCAGAGTCCAATCTTTGGCCGATCTTCAAGCAAGGTAAGGTTGATCCAGTTTTCCGATTCGAACCCTATCGCTTTCGAAATTTTTGGTTTGAGTATAAAATCATCTCTTCAAAATTGAGCCCTTTATGTAATTTTATGGTTTCTCAATATGCGAAAACTTGAGAATATACAGGGATTGAGAATCGAAAACCGAACCCAAATTATGCCTCGGTTTGCTTCTTGTGTTCTTGGGTGCTTCTGATGCATCTTGGTTTCTCAATGCTGCCATTTTATTGTCTTCTGGTTCCGTATGCAGATGCTGAAGGAAAGAGACGACTGCGACGAGGCGGCAGCGACGAGGCTCAACGATGGCGGCAGCGAGGCTCAACGACGGCGGTGGCGATGCTCAACTGCAGCGACGGAGAAGAGGAGGAATTAAAAATTAAAAGCAAAAAATAATAAAAAGATCAAATTTTAATGTTATCATACGTGAAAGCTAACGTGTTTGCTAAGCTGGATCACCGTTGACAAAGAATTAGTGGTAACGAAATTAATGCTAATATTTTGCAACGTTAATTAACGTTGGCTAATAATTAGTATTACGATAGTTTTGGCTAATATTACGAAATGAGGAAAAGTTTTGGCTAAAAAATAGTATTTACCCTATAAAAAAACAGGAACATGTGTAGTTGGTAGTTTTTATAAATTGTGGAAGCTAATAATGTTGTCTTAAGTTACTTGTTTTTTGACATAAACCTTGTAGAACTTTTATGGTAATGTCTATTTACTATTCATTTTTTTATTTTATCCAAACCTATAGAAACTATATTTATTATCCAAACGTATTGTAACAGATCAAAGTCTAGGCATTCATTTTGGTATCGTTACTTATTTCGTAACAGAGCTCCACGTAAACATCCACTTCAGCGGACACGTCAAAAATTAATATTTAAATGTATTTATTATTATAAATTTAAAGGTAATGTATATTTATTATTCAAACATTTTTCAGATTCTTTTATTTTATTTTATCTAAACCTATTGGAATACTATTTATTAAGCAAACGTATTGTAACTGACCAACTCAACATCCATCCCATCATCCACCTTAGAAATTCATCAAATTTCATTGTATTTTTAATTTTTAATTTATTTTTAATTTGGCTCTCTGCCTTTCCCCTTCCTCCATCAACTCATCTACCAAAGGATCTTTTAGATCCGAAAACCCAGAAACCAAAAGGATTTGTTAGATATTTGTGAAGGAACCATGGTTCAGGAAACCGTACCGGACATCATACCAGAATCATCCGTGGTAGGGTATTTTGTGGTACAACCGTGGTTCAACCCTTTTGTGCCGGTAAATATCGTTTTAATAATAATATAATATTATTTTTGTAAAAAAACCGTATCGACAAGTTAGAGTATCATTTCGGAATAATACCGGAATATACCGGAATAAAACAAAAAAAAAGAAAAAGAAAAAAGGCACATGTCATGTCTCCCATCCCATTCCACTTTTCCTAATGCTGCCACCCACTCCCACTCCCACGTTCTCTCCTCTTTCTTTCTTTAATTATTATATTTCTTTGATACTTTTCCATATCTCTTCGCCTCCCGCAAGCCTCTCTCTCCCCTTGTACATTTTTTTTTCTCTCTTATTCTCACTGATCCTATCTCTTTCCTTCTCTTCCTCTTCTTAAAACAATGGCGGCCGGGAGAAGAGCGGCATCTTCAGCCAGGACTTGAGAGGAGAGGGAACCTGTAGAACCACATCATTTCTCGATCTCGTCCTTCTAGCCGGTCTCCAGAGGCAGGGCTGAGCTGGAGCAGGCGAAGGAATGTCGCGGCAGGGAGGGAGACTTGGCGGCGTTCTCGAGCAGCCGAGTTCGTCCTTCTCGCCGCCGTCGTCGGTCGTCACTCGCAAGAGGTAGGGGTGAGCTGGAGAAGAGAAGAGGAGCGGCGGATTAGGGATTCGGAATTAGGGATTCGGAATGGCTATTGAGTATGGAAGTGATTTTTGTTTTATTTTTCCCTGTTTCAAACGACGACGTTTTCTTTGCAAAACAGGCAACCGCCGGTTGGAACAAAACCGGGCGGTATTTCGCTTAGAACCGGTTAAACCGAAAATTTCGGCCGGTATGGTATTTATAGCAGCAAGTGCATACCGTTTCGTTTCTGGTCCGGTTTCCGGTTTTACCGGTTCAACCGGCCGGTACGATCCGGTTTCCTGGACTATGGAAGGAACACAAAGAAGCAGGGGATGGAGGCAGAGTGGCGGGAATCGAAGGCGGTGACGAGTCAGGTAGGTTGGGGATAAGAAAGTGAGTGCGATTCGAGAATCGGGAGTCATAGGCAGCAATGTTTGCAGGTTGTATCGGGCACAAGGACAGAGTGGGGATGAATGTTGTTGGCCTTGCGTCGGAAGGAAGTTGAAGAGATGAGTGGAGCTAGGGAGAAGCAGAGATGACTTCTTACTCGTCACCGCTGCCGCCATGTCGAACATTGTCCTTTTTTTTTCTACCAGCGACGGTGCAGTGGAAGGGTGATATGGAGTGGATGAAGGGTTTGATCGATGGAGGGGATGGTGGTCTTATGAGCTCGTTGGGTTCGTCGATCTGTCAGGGTGTACGAAGAAGAAGAGGAATGGAAGGTTGTGGAATATGTAGGAGAAGGTGGCCCTATGTTTTTTCCCCTGCTTTTTCTGTTCGTGATGAGATTTTCTTCTTCCACCTCAAGTTGATCTTTTAGATCTTCTTTGGGACGTTTTGGTGTTGTAGACACCACATTTTGTCCGGAGCAACCATCCTACTCAGAACTCGAAAGAATATCCTTTTTAAAACGCAAAAGGAAAACCCAAATGAAAGTTTGGATGAGGTTGGTTGAGATTAGCGGTGGCGAATCAATAAGTACCAACGATTTTCAAGTCCTCTTCCTATTTAGTTCGAATATTTGTACTAGGTAGGATTAGCAGTAGTTAATGGCTACCAAATTCGCTTTATTTAGAATAGCAATAGTATGTCGTCACAACTTATACTAGTATTATTGTTAACGATTAGTGACATAGGTTGAATGGGGTAGGAAGACCATGGTAATCTTACTAATATTGGTCAAAATTCATAACGAAGAATTATTTACTTAGAAGTTGGGATATTGGTCACGAATTGAATGATGGGGTAATAGACACAACGATCATCTAATTCTAACGGCAAGGACATAAATAAATGAATGTGTAAGTACAAATTACAATCTGTGACATTTAAGATTCACTTTGTAAGTATACATTTAGAAAAAAATGAGAATAAAAAATATATAAAAAATTCTGCTTTTGGTGGCACCAATCAGAATTAGAGGCATAGCCTTTTGAGCCAGAAACATTTTGGGCCAGAAACAGGCCAGGGACCTGCAAAGAAAAAAGAAGTGTTAGAAGGGCAGCCCAAAACAAAAACCCACAATCCAGGCCCATATCACAGCCCAATTAACTCTGGTCAACCCGGGTCAACTCTGGTCGAGCCAGTCAACTCGGGTCGACCGGGTCAGCCCAACCAAACCCATCATCCTTATCTTATCTACAAGAACAGCAGGACAGCAGAACCGCAGAGCAGCAGAAACTACCACCGTCCTAGAGAAGTAGGAGGGCGTCCAGCTCTTCAAAGGATCACTAAAAACTCACCACGCAGCAACCTGCAACAAAAAGGAAACAATTAAAAGTAAAATCAAATGCAGGCACAAATCATGGCTGCTACTCCTGAGAAGAGTAGGACGGCCACCTTTTCAAGGACTAACTAAACATTGACAGCAAGCAAAATGAACAGTAAAATCCAGGTATAAAAGGAGGGGTCGGTGACCAAAACAAGGGGGAGGAGAAAGTGATCTGAGGGTTCTCAATTCCAGAAAAATAAGGAGAATAGCACAAAAGTAAACACCAAGTTTGATAGGAGAAGAGAGCAGTTAATCGATAGAGGAAAGGAGAAGCAAAAGCAGCTCTGGAGGCATAGAAGCAGAAAGCATAGGACATAGCAATCAACAAGCACGAAATCAAACAAAAGAAACCACTCTCGGCAGTTAAGGTTAGTATTTCTCAAACCCATATTTGATCCGCGTATAAGAGTCTCCATTCATCTACTTAACAAGCTTAGTTGAAAACAGAAAATAAATGTTTCTTCATGGTAGCCTATATGTATATGTTAGATTCATGTGTGTTTGATAGATCGATATCTATATATTAGAGATCTACTCTTGCTACCATTTTCTGTCATTTTTAGACTAAATCATGGATCAAACCAGCCAGATTATCTGTATGTACATGATAGATCAGTATGTTTCTTTTTGCTAGATTTGTTTTGTGATCACTACTGCTTCATAATTCATAGTATCCAAGTCGGTTTACTTAAGTTCTATCCATGTAGAATAATAGGCAGAGATTGAAATCTTCGTGAATCCCTAATCAACATAAAAGCCAGTTAAATAAAAAAAACCTTCAACCTCACAATCGACCCACAAAACAAAATCATAGCATAAGAAACCAGTTAATGGCAAAATCAATTAAGATCCAAAGTTCTGATTTAGTCATAGCAGTGGCTGTGACTTAGGTTATTGTTCTTAATCGTTCTTTCCAAACCATTGTCAATACTATATTCTTAAACTCCTATCCCAAACATAGAACATAATTTTCTTTCTCAGTCCGAAATCACAAGCAGTGGCTGTGATTTTCGGCTATGTTAAAAGGTTTTCAACTACAACTCTACAACACGATAACTTTAGATTTTCAAAATCCACAGCAAAAATCAACAAAACAAACGATTTACCAACATTACCATAAAAACAATTCACTAGCAGATTAAGAAATCGACTCCTAACTACTTAGAACCCAATCGACTAAAGAGAAAACAGACATAAATCTCCAGTTGTACAGGGGTATCACCTAAATCTCTTCGTTTAGTCACTGCAAAGGGGAGGGTTCGAGAGATTCTGGTGTTTCCTCTGGCTGGTGGCAGTTGTTTCTGCGCCGGCGACCACCGCCTCTCCCTTCCTTCTCTCGGCGGAGATCCAAAACAAAAACAAAACAAAAACGAAACAGGTTAAATCCCGATCTATTACAGAATCAAGTAAAACGAACATGCATATAAAAAGAGCTCACCAGAGGGTAAGATCTCCTCGTCGTCGCCTCTGTTCCAACTAGAAAGGGTAGATCGAGATTATTAGAAGGTAAATCAAGAGTCCCCCTCGATTTGAGCCGATTTCCGGAAAAATAAACAAGAAAAAGGGTTAGAACCTCGAAAACCAGGAAATCAAGACCTGAAAATGGTAAAAAAAAAATCTTGCATGCAAAACAAAAACGAACCTTTAAGGTACCCTCGTTGTCGTCGGTGTCATCGCTGGCGGCGCCTCCCCCAGTCGCCACCGTCGACGCCTCTCCTGGTCGCCGCCGGCGACGCCGTTCTTCTTTCCCCTTGTCGTTTTCAGAAATAAGGAGTGGGAGAGAAGTAGATCGGATAGGGAGAGGGCTTGTCGGTTTCCATTTCTCGGATAAGAGAGGAAGAACGCGAGAGGGAGAAGAAAATTGAGAGGGGAGCGTTTGGTTTGATTA